TCAGGACACAAAGCATTTGATTTTATTTCAAAGATACTGTCTTCTACCTTTACATACTCTTTAAGTTCAACCTACAAAACAAACAAATAACTCAGTTAGTTTTCATGTAATGGTAATACTATTGAACATCATCATAAAGAACTCATACTACATAGTCATATTCCACTTATTCAAGAGTAAATATACACTGAAATTGGATCAGAAATGGCCATTTTGAATGTGATCTGAAAAACAAATATGCATATGTGTGATTTGATGTACATGTATTATGTATATATCATATGCAATTGTCAAGGCGAATCAAAGATATGGCTTGGAAATAGTATTTGTTAAAACAAATGGCTGCATTTAGTCATGACGTTCATCAAGGGATCATTATCTCTAATTATTGGCAATGTATGTACCAAGTTCGAATGAAACCCATTCGTACACAATCAAGATCTGGTGCCTGAATGAAATTTTAACAATAAAATCAAAGAAAGCTTAGAAAGAACTCCTGTGTGCTGAGAGTATTGGAGACACATTAATAATTAATTCAAAATTACTTGAACTTGAGATGTTGTTGGAAACGCAGAAAACTAATTATGCAAATAAGGTAACTAGTATGAACAGATTTAAGTGTAAAACTAATAAGGTCTTCACAATATACCAAGTTTCATTTAATGTGATTAGAACCAAAAAAATATTAATTATTATGCTAATTAGAAAATTAATATGAACAGATTTTAACCCAAAATTAATTGGGCTGTCTATTGTCCTAGAGCATTTATGTACCAAGTTTTATTCAAATGTGATGATCAATACTTGAGATATCAGTATTAATTATGTTAATTAGGTGATTAAGAAGCATAAATATTTACCAAAAACTAATGTGGTGTATAGTCCGAGGTTCATTGAAATGTGATGGGTACTCTTTAAAAGTTTCATTGAAATCCAATGAGTGGTTTTTTAGACATCAGTGCAACAGCCATACACCAGCAAAAAATTAACTAATTATGCAAATTAGGTAATTAATAGGCACAATTATTTATCCCAAAATTAATCAGGTCTCTGCATAGTCCTAGAATATCTATGTCACAAGTCTCATTGAAATGTGATGATTAGTACTTGAGATATCAGGTGAAAAGCTGAAAATTAAATAATTATGCTAATAAGGTGATTAATATGCACAAATATTTACCCGAAAACTAATTAGGTCTCTGCACAGTCCTCAAGTAACTATGTACCAAGTTTTATTGAAACGTGATCATTAATACTCGAAATATCAAAAGCTGAAAATTAATTAATTATGCAAATTAGGGAATTAATATGTACTGATATTACCTTAAAAACTATCAGGTCTGTGCAATGTCATATGACATCTATGTACCAAGTATTATTGAAATGTTATGATTAGTACTTGAGATATCAGTGGAAAAGCCGAAAATTGATTAATCATTATGTAAATTAGTATTATAATATTAACAGATTTTTACC